CATAACATATATATCAACTAGTTCTGAGTTGGAGCAATGAAAAGAGGCACATCTTGCTTCGCATTTTCAACTTACCCTATAGGTTTTGTTAGTTGCTTGTCATTATTAAGGTGCTGGTCTTGAACTTAGATAAGTGAAATGTGGAAGCTGGATTTACAGGACTCAATGAAGCATCATCAAACACGCTTCCTAACACAGAAACCAGCAAAAGTTGTTTTATCAAGTATGGAAGTTGTGGCCCAGTCCATGGGTTTCAAGACCCATATCCGCAATTTTAAGGTAGACACTCACCTTTTCTTATTAATAATGGGCATCTCAAGCTTAATCACTTGGGTTCACTTGGTCTTTTTTCTTTTCTTTCAAGTTCTATCCTGCAATTTTCTTGGACAATTCCTAAGGTTGGTCCTCATTTCTGCTTTTATGTATGTCTCAGATGAGGGTAGAAGGTCTCTCCACAAACAAGACTTCACATTTCTCTGTAATACTGGAGGCAAGTTCACTTCTTTCGAAAGCTGTTTCAATCTGCGTAGCACTCTTTCTGTGCTAGCTAATATTTATTATTTAACAGGTTTTCGAAGTTGCTCCTACATTTTTCATGGTAGACGTTCAGAAAGCAGCCGGTGATGCTAGTGAATTCCTCAAGGTTAGTTCAGTATCATACATATACATGATCCAAAACTCTCTTTGCTTCTTCCTTATCAAAAAGCAAGTGCTTACACCTATACTGTTTAACAGTTTTACAAGAACTTTTGTGGCAATCTTGAGGACATTATCTGGAGGCCACCGGATGAATCATGCAAATCAAAAGTTACAAAAGCAAGGAGTAGAAAGAGATGATATTTTAGCATTAGAGAGTCTGTGTGTACTTTGTGTTTGTATAAAAGATTACAGTTTCTTGAACCCAATAGGCAGTGAGTACACTCTTTTATAGTCGAGCCAAGTGAGGGGTAATGTTTCCGCGCTTTCCCCAGGTTTTATATCAGTTATATCAATGTGGTGATGACAGTTATCATCTTAGAGCAGAGAGTAAAACATAACAAATACTTGCTATTTCTAGAGAAGAGTGATTATATTTTTACCAGCTTCAGTGAAACATTTCCAATTTTCTTGTTTCATCAATTTCATATTAACAGCAAAGGCAATTGTTGTTAAATCCATGATCTACCCAACATTAGAGCTTTACAACTAGTCAACCAAACCTTTGCCCCTTAAATTCAAAAGATGGCAGGACAAAACCTTGTGTATAAACTGATGTAGCAATTGGAAATTTCATCAGTACAGAAAACTCCATATAAGCCACTATTTACTTTTCTGATTTTCCTTTCATATAACAATATCAGTCAATGAGTAGATAACAGAGACTTGACAAGAAAAATGATAATCAAGAAATTAAGGTAAGTGAAGGCTTTGAGAAAGAATTAAACAAGACTACCAAAATCGCCGCAAGAACAATGTCCATTCACAAATTTGTGAAGCCTTTTACTATCTCTAATGATGATTTTTCTTGAAGTTAGCTGTGAGATGAATTTCATAAAGCTGTGGCAATCTCTACACATGCTTATACTCTTAATAACTCGGATGGGTGCAGCACTTGGTATGTTCAGCAATCCAAATGCAACAGCCAGTTTTTCACTGTGACGACCAATAGGAAAAGCTGTTTCATTATCTTCTTCGTTTTTGAGCTCCAAACTTGTGTGCAACTCAAATCCCATTGTACTTGCTTTGTCATGTAAATCACTTAAGAAAATATCTATATTTTCGTATGGAGGATTCAACTGATCACCTGTTCTAAACGAATGAACTTTGTCCCTGATGCTGATCCAGCTCCAATCCTTTAGCTTTCCGATTTTTTCATCTTTCATTAGCTTTCTCAACCTGGAAACATCCTTCCATCTCTCAGCTGATAGGTACATGTTTAACAACAGGAAGTATGCTTCTGAATTTTTCGGATTCAGGCTGAGTAGTTGTTCAGCAGCATAAAAACCTAGTTCTAACTTCCCATGGCTTCTACAGCCAGCTATTAGAATTGACCATATAAACTCGTTAGGCTCAAAATCCATCTTCTTGACGAAATCAAAAGCCTCATCTATCCTACCTAACCTCACAAACATATCAATCAAGCATGCATAATGGTCCATCACGGGCTTAATTTTGTACTCTTTTTTCATCATGTCAAAGTATGTCAATGCCTCTTTGACCAGTCCAGCATGGCTACAAGCCGAGAGCACTCCCACGAATGTAACCTTGTTTGGTCTAACTCCTACGAACCTCATATCCTCAAAGAGCTGCAACGCTTGTTTAGAGTACCCATGTTGTGCGAAGGCTGTAATCATAGACGTCCAAGATATCAAAGTTCGTGTAGACATCTCCACAAAAGCTTTACTTGCCCTATCAATGCTCCCACATTTATTATACATGTTAACTAGGGCAGTTCCCACTACAACGTCCGACAAAAACCCAGACTTAATAACCTGAGCATGAATTTGTTCCCCTTGTTCCAAAGCAACCAAACTACTACATACAGATAACACACTTGAGAAGGTGAATAAATCAGGCTTCATCCCCGAATGATGCAGTCTCAAAAAAGTGTTTAGTGCCTCAAAACCGCTGGAATGTGCAGCAATACCGTCCTCTCCAAGATCCATCATTTGAGCAAGACCTGCAATCATCGCGTTCCATGTAACCAAACTAATTGACTCCATTCCATCAAACAGCTTCTTTGCCTCTATAATCCATCCATTTTTCAAGTATAAGTACATAATTGAATTTGTTACTCTTAGATTAGAACCATACCCCAGTTTAATGCTCAAAGAATGAATTTGTGATCCTATCTTTAAAGCCTGCATTATGCAACACAAACTTAGTACACTTGTAAATGTGAACTCATTAGGCTCCACATCCGCACTAAGCATATCAACAAACAGGCTTAATCCCATTGCAGAATCCCCGTTATCTCCACAGGCAGATATAGCTGCTGTCCACGAGATAACATTCTTATCAGCAATCATCCGAAAAGCTTTAACTGCAGAATCCAGATTGTGACTTTTGGAATACAAGCTACAGAGAGCATTGCCAATACTTGTGTCATCCTCAATTTCATACTTCACAACATACGCATGAATCTGCTTTCCTAACTCGAAATGACCCAACAATGAACAAGCATTGAACGCAACACCTAACGTATAATTCGTGGGAAATCCACCCGCTTCCAGCATTTCTTGGAATACGCTAATAGCAACCTCCGGCTGCGAATTCTGAACATAGCCAGACATCAAGGATGTCCAGGTAACAACATTTCTTTTAGGCAAATTATCAAATACCTTCCGTGCGTTTCCCATCATCCCACATTTTGCATAAACATTAACAAGAAATGTCATGAGGAACAAATCTTCATGAATACCCATTTTGATAATATGGCCATGAATAGCTTTAGCTTCTGAAACAGAATTATTCTTGATACATTCTTGCAGAAGTGGAACATAAGAAGCTGATTCCACTTTTTCACTACCTTCTTTGATCAGTGAAAGTGCCTCTCTGAATTCAACATTCAATGGCTCCAATGCTTTATCCGAGTTCATGGGACTATGATTTTTCTAAATTAAACCACAAAACAAGAAGAACCATTAGATATATAGAAGAAAAAAAATAGTCCAATCCACTGAAAAATCCGACCACATAGGTCTATTATACACAATCTTACCCTGCATTTCTGTAAGAGACTGTTTTCACAACTTTATCAGTTACTCCGAGACTTAGACAATGGAGTAAAACAGTAATTAAAAGGATCAAGATTGTACCTTTTCGAAAGGCAAAGGAGTTACTGAGTTTTTCTTGAATTCATTTTCAAGCTTAAGGGTGTTGCCCACAACTACTGAAGGCAGAGAAGCCATTGAATTCGCCACTCAGTATAAAACTGGGAAAAGATTACTTCATTGTTCTTCCGTTTTATTTTATCTGAAATTGAAATTGAAAAAAGAAAAATGTTATCTTTACTCTTTGGATGAAATTGAACTGAAAATCCGAACAGGGGAGACCGGTAGAGATTGAGTTTCGTGGACCCCACTGGAGATGTGAAAAATGGATTAGGACGTTAATCTTAGCGGGAACTAATAAATTATGGATAGTAATCGTTCGTTTGGTATCGGTAGTCTCGAAATTATTTATCTCATAAATTACAAAGTCCACGATATAATTTTGTTTATCCCACCTTCCGTATCAAAACAACGATTCATAGTTTTTACCTTCTAATCCCTATTGACAATTCGCTAAGAATATACTCATTTCTGTAAAAATATATATGATGTACTTAGGAGCGGGACGGATGCGGAGTAAGTTTAAGGCTATATAGAGCGGGGGGTTTAAGGTTATGTGAGGCGGGATGAATGCAGGGCGGATTGAAGTGAGTTTTTTTAAAATTAATGTGGAGCAGGGCGGGTTGCAGATATATATGATTTTATGTTAGTTCAAACTTAATAATAAATTTTTACATGTTATAGAGCGATAGAGCATTATTTATTAAGATAAATTCATTAAAGCAATTACAACATTCAAGATAATAAATGAAAATGGGTCAAAAAAAAATAATACAATTTCTTGCATGTTTTCCAATGACCTCTAAAAATTAAATTTTAAGTAAATATCCTATTAAATTAATACATAATGAAAAAATGAATTTATTTTTAAGATTTTTATTTTTAGTATCAAACATAACTAGAAAAAGAAAATATTACGAGAATTATGCGGAATGGGTCTATGCGGGTCGGGGCGGTGTGGGTTGAAAATGAAAAGAGTTGCTACGCGGGGCAGGGCGAATTAAAAGATTTGCAGGTTAAGCTCAATCCGCACCACCTCATTGTCATCCTAGATGTACTCCCTCTATCTCTTATGGTTGATCACTTTCTAACTAAGAAAATGATTTTACTAATTCACCCTTAAAAAGCTTTTTGGAAATTTTACAAACAAATGTAAACACTTTCAAAAATAATCAATTGCAAAGATCATATATGAAAAAATAAAATATATAGTTCCTGATTCTTGTTTGGTGAGAGTGCTGGCATTACTGATGAACTGTTTGCATAAGATCTTATCCCTTATCCTGTTATACATCACATGTGAACGTAGCATAAAATTACATCTGATGGTAACTTCGATTTGAAAAATCAAACAAATGTAATGAAATGTGATCCGTGTAACTCTTTTCCGCGCACTGCAGGTGAATTCAGAAAGACAAATGTTCTAACATCATTGGAGAAAAATGTCTTCTGACTCGAGCCTTAGCAAAATAAGACCGATAAGGGGACAAGTAAAGGTTGGAAACTAGAACTAAATAGGCAATCATCTTGCACATTTTACACTTACAGCCAAAGACAGCAAAATTACAGAGAGTGAAGAAAAAGGAAGCCTCACTGCCTTAAATGAATAAGTAAATGGACCCAGTGTTAAAAACTTAAAAACACATGATTTTACATTCTGGTATAATAAACAGAAAAATACATCAGAAATAACTCTTTTTTTCGTTTAGGAGAAAAGTAAGGCAACAGAAGTACCTCAACACTAGATCCAAGCTCAATTCTTGTATTTCATTGTTTCTTTCTCGAAACCAACAGTAGGGAATTGTTTGGCATAGTCCTCAACGTCCTGCCTTAGCTTGGCAACCTCAGATTGAATGTTGGAGTCTGAACTCAAAGTTGCCACAAAGTCCTTCAACTTCGTTCCTATGTTTATTAGAAACCGATGATTGTATGTAAGTATACAATCTGAAACTTTTAATAACAAATTGTATGATCTGAGGAACTGATAAATTCCAAAATATTGACAACATGAAAAACACCAAACCTTTGGTCTCAGCCTTGACCTTAAGGGCCAACTTCACAGCAGCGTCAAAATATTCAGCCACTTTGACAAAATCCTCCTCAACAAAACCTCTAGAAGTGAGAGCTGGGGTGCCTGGATCACAGCATGAGACGGGGTAAATTGACTTGGAGATCAATTATATCCACACGCATGTCACCATCAATGGAAATGTTTCTTTTCTGTTCTATTTACTCATTTAATTTTTAATTTTGGATCAACAAGAATTAGTAGTCAATACTAAGATACTGCCACAAGAATATTAAGAGGTTCTACCCCTGGTTAATACTACAAATACACTTGCGCAAGAAAAGGGAGAAAGAGCTGAAAGAACATATACATTCTAGGTGTTAAATTCATGAGATGCTGGACACTATAGGGTGCATTAACGATACATCCAGTTATGTTAAGCAATCATAATAAGCAATCATAAAATAGGGGAAAAAAAGATCCTTACCCATGCGAATGCCACCAGGTACCATGGCAGATACATCACCAGGCACAGTATTCTTATTGGCTGCAATATGCACCGACTCTAAAACCTTCTCAACTCTAGATCCATCAATACCCTGAAGAAGGTATTCACCAAATTGTCAGGGTAGGAGTCGACGCTTCCATGTAATGCACAATTGACATATTTGATCCGTTAAATACATCCAATACACAAAAGATAAGACGTTCTACGCCTGATCTCTTTTCTAAATCTTTTGCAAATATAAATAAACACAGCTATTAAAATTAAAAATATCCTGTTCTTTTAGATGTCCGACGGCAAAACGATCAGCAATTCTAATGGACAATAAGAAGCTGTCCTGTCATTTTAATATGAACCTGTTATGTACCTTATTTCTTAAGTTAACCAGCACGAGATGATTCTCAGTTCCACCAGATACAAGATCATATCCCGCTGCCAGCAAACTCTACAAAATATTGTGATCAGAAATTAAAATTTGCAACAAAACCATCAAGTTACCTCCCTCTGCTGTAGTAATGATCATAGACTATGCTATGGGTGAAGGAAGTTAACTACAAGTAGTACCTCAGCAAACTTAGAGCAATTGCTAAGAACTTGCTCTTGGTATGCCTTGTATTCTGGTGTCATGACCTACATAACAGACAAGGAGACATTTTATACAGTTGCAACTTAATAAGGGAAACATGTAAACAATGGATACAAATACAGAAGATGAACTACTTACTTGTTTCAGTGCGACAGCTAAGCCAGAAATTGTGTGATTGTGGGGGCCACCTTGAAGTCCAGGGAAAACAGCTTGGTTGATTTTATCTTCATAGTCATACATAACCTGTAGGATGACATTCACACTATTATTTATCACATTATAGTTTCTCCATTATTCATTCATAGAAAAGAGATATAAGTGGCACCATATTCCAACAATGAGATTTTGTGCTTCTCATCCAGCCTTTTGTGTTTATTTTGATTTTATGCAAGATTACAGGAATTGAAGCATTTAACTTTTGATTCGTTTAAGAAGGTGGTAGCGTGTTAACTGAGGCGCATGATTTTATGGTGTGTCCAGTAGGCAAGTTTACAAGGTTGAAGGAAGATCTGAGGACGTGTGCAAGGAATAAGCAGAGAATTGGGTTGAGGCCAGCAGAAGTTGATGGAACCCATAAAATTACTCAATTTGGTCGGCTAGGACTTAGGAGTGAAAGACTAAATTGGCTTGTCCAACATAAACTGAAAATTTCCGATGCAGGACACGGTAATAAGAGAACTAAACAAGAATAATCTACAAGGAAGGACTAACAATAAAATTTCCCTCCCTAGATTTCAGTACCAAAGAGTATCCAAACTAATACTACCAAGTTATTTGACTTCAGGTCATACTCACTTCTTCTCCTTTTTTGTTTATCTCCTTCACTCCTTTTCTGAAGAAGATCATCGCTCCACGTGGCCCACGTAGTGACTTGTGAGTTGTGGTGGTAACAACGTCTGCATACTCAAAAGGAGAAGGGATGACTCCAGCAGCAACCAAGCCACTGATATGTGCCATGTCTGCCAAGAGAACAGCTTTTTGCTTGTCACATACCTGTCAATTGCTCAAAAACAGCACTACTTTAAAAGTTGGAAAACATAATAGTGGGAACAAACTTAAAAAGATTTATTGGTTTACCTTACGGATACGTGCATAATCATATAGGCGAGCATAAGCACTTGCACCAGCAACAATCAACTTCGGTCGGAAGAGCGTTGCACTTTTCTCCAGCTGTGCAAATGGAAATTCAACAACTGAAGAATGAGTTGAAGAAATCACGTACTAACTAGACTAAAAGAACCTGAGAAAGCCAACAAAGAGTCTTGATTTGTAAACAATAAAGCATGCTTTTTACCCCCAAGAAGACTAGCATAAGCATCTGTACATTATGGTGTACAAATACACTTGCTTCAAAAGAAACCCTAGCTCAACAACTTACAATTTTTGTGTCAAAACAGCTGAAGGCCTTGAAAAGAGGAAGCAGCAGAGACTTGTCTGTCTCACTTCCTCATTATCATTTACTCAGCATAGTAAGAAGCTTCAAGAGTGTGCTCCATGTGGAAAGCGACAATACAAACATGTGAAAGCATATGAACTAGGAAACATTTAATCATATGTGAAGCAAGGCACAGGTTCAATTGAGGGGAATTCTGGATCTGTTATTATACTGATTTCAAATTATATGATGTTGCAACCAAGAAATCAGTGCATGCAGACTATAGGAAAGGAGATGACAAAAGATAATTTTGACATTTTCTTCAGATGATTTGAGTCGATGACTACTGAAATTAGTAATTAGAAGTGGCCAAAAGGTGCAAGACACAAGAAAAGTGAAATGGCTTATAACACCTAAACTATTCCAAATAATACAGACAAACAAAAGACTACCTGTTCATAGTCAATATAACCTGTGCTCTCATCTAATCTGTAAGGCATGGTCTCGAAAAAGATAGACACAGCAGAAATCTTCTTTGTGTCAGTCTGCATAGCATAGACAGAAATAAGGGCATTGCTGGGAAATAAATATTACAGCAAAGTACACCTTAGATATATTAGTTCAAGAGAACAAAACCTGATAACCATGTGAAAGATGTCCACCATGAGGAAGATCTAGCGCCATAATTCTCTCATGAGGCTTTAATAAAGCAGTGTACACTTGAAAATTTGAAGGAGATCCAGACAATGACTGAACATTGACTGCAACAAAGTTTGATGAATAATTAGCATAAAGACTATTATCAAAAGCCTAGAGAGCAAGCATAGAGCCATTATCAGGTCAGTTCACATCTAATGATCCACTCAGAATGAAATTTTTCTTCCTGATGTAATTACCTCCCCATTTGGCAGGATCCAAATTAAAAACTTCCAGTGCACGTTTTTGACACAATCTCTCTGCCATGTCAATATACCTATATAAAATGAATAAAAAAACAGAAGACGTGGTTAATGTTTCTAATGGTATTCAATTAGCAACAAATGACAACCAGAATGACAAACTCTTGCTGATCAGCCAGAAAGCAAGTATATCAATGTCACAGCAACTTAGATACCACTTTTAGTTCATATTATAGGAGATCAGCAATTCAGTATAAAGTATGAACTCCAAATCAACCAGAGAACGAAAGTAATGAACGTACTCATTTCCTCCATAGTATCTAGCACCAGGATACCCTTCACTGTATTTGTTGGTCATTACTGATCCAACTGCTTGCATCACTGACAGTGATGTAAAATTCTCTGAAGGGATAAGCTCAAGACCCTACAAATTCGTCAAAATTCATGGTTCATACATAAACGATCTTTTAACATACTAGAGGCTTGTAAAATGTACTCTCTTCATTTCATATTATAAACACCTTTTCCATTGTGGATTGTTACTAGAATCTTAACATAGTTCTGTTACTATATAACTTTTTCTAAACTTTGATTTGATTTTTTTCTCTACTAAACTCTCTTTTAACCACTGGTTTAATTATCTTCTTCAATTTTATACAATTAGTGATAATATATAATTCGACTCAATACTCCTCTCTATCTTTTGATTCCAATCAAATATCATGATATAAAGTGAAAATGAGGAACTAACTACTCACTCCATTTCATGTTAGTTGGCTCATATCGACCTAACACCCATTTAAGAAAGCTTTAATAAATAGTGTGTTTTAGTAAACTGATCTTATTCAAATGATGCTTTCGAACCCTTAAAAGTAACACTAATGAGCAATATGGAAAAAAAAAGTACTAAAATTCTCTTGATTTGCTAAAATGAAACATCTACTTTTGGTTATAGTGGCCAAATAAAATGAAACGAAGGGACTAACTATTAAGAAAATCAGGTGTTCGTGTTTTAATTATCAGCTCATATGAAAAGCAGATTTTGGAATATCTTTACCAACAAAAACAACACAAAATTTTCTTAACAAATCATAGAATCATAAACACAATAAAATTACAAACCTTCCATTGCCTAGCTTTCTCATGCTCAATAATGTCGGCAATCTCTGGATCAATTTCTTCAAGTGGCGCATTCAACTGCTTAATCCACTATTAACCAAATAACCAGGAGCAACAATAAAATCATTGATCCTACCATTGAAAACTCATAAAAAAAACAAAGATCCAAAAGCAAAAGTAAGAAAACCTATACATATTCTGATTCGATTTACTACTAACCGTAACTCGCGGATCCTCCCTATCTCGAACTGCTTGATTAGGCAAAGACGACTGCAACAACAACAATAAAAAAAAATTTAAAAAAAGCAACAATTAACAAAATTGAATATCACCAGCTTTAAATATTAATAACTTTTCAGGAAGAAAATACTTGTACCTTGTATTGCACGGAAGAGCCATTGGAGAGAGGACGAAGAAGGTTGATGGAGGAACCGTAAGAAATCTTACGAAGAGCCATCGCCATTGCTATTTCAATTTTTGTTCGTGTAATGGCAATTGAGAAATGAGCTTTGGGTTGGTGTTATTAGGCCCCTTGTTGGGAATTTGGGGAAACAGAGGGTGGTTGAAGATGGTGACAGAGCTTAGTGGTGTGGTGCGTTTGCTTTGCTAATTGAACGATGTGACTTTTTAATTTTTGGTTGTTGTAAAGCACTAAAATACTAGTAACACTTTCATTTAGAAGTTCAGTTACGTGTTATTTTCTAATGTATTATATTATATTATATTATATTATATTATATTATATTATAATATTATATATTTATAATTTAAGTAAATATTAAAATATTTTAACATTTAAATTAATAATATAACGCATACAACCATCCAAATATGAATTAAGGCAAATTATTTTTCTACATTTAGGAATCTTTGTCATTTTTTATTAAAATACTTTAAGAAAATTAAAATAGAAGAGAGTTGGTTCTGGGGACAATGTCAGTAGTAGTTAATCATCTCAAAGTGCATGGAAGTTGGTGAACTGATTATATCGGAAAGTATTCCACTGTTCACTTTTAATTACTATATTTTTTAAAAATGTTAACTTAATTCGTAATCATTAATATTAAATAATTATTTCATTGTTCAACAAAATATATATTAATTTTATAAAAAAATAATATGCATAATAAATTATTTTCTTAAATGAGATATGAAGTTTATTATGTACGAATAAAAAGTAAATCGTGAAAGTATATAACAAATTAAAACAAGATAAAAGTAATAGAGTCAAAGGATAAAAGTAATAGAGGGTATAAAGTATATATATTTTATATCTATCTTATTAAACGATAAAAGTTATTTTCAATAGACTATCGAATCAAATAAATATCTCAAAACAATTTGTATAGAAAAATATGAATAAAAAAGTAACAATACGTAACAAAATAACACTAAATAGAGAGTAATACAGAAGTAAAAAATACTAACGATAACCAAAAACATATAAGTAATAATTGAAATTATATAATGAAAACTACGATAATAATACGAAAACTATTTGAAATTGAGAAAAAGATAATAGTACTCCTAAATTATTAAAGAGAGCCAAGAGATAAGTAAAAAAGTTTATACTTGTTCTTCTCATTATCACTGACAGTCTAACCAAGGAACTATGTATTGGAGCTTACCTGTTATACCCCTCTCCCTTGTCAAAGCTTAGTTATCCGTGAATGAGAACTCGTTTTGCTTGTTGACTGGCTTATGATGGTTTCCTGTCCCAATTCAACATATTCCTTTTTTTGCTCCTGCTTGGTAGCAGGCTTGTGTGTGAACTTATCTTAGATATTGAAAGCACAACCTCAAGCAATTTTTTAACCCCTTAACTATAATCTAAATCTTCAATTTGTATCAAGATATGTCAAACACGCGTATACATATTTGATAAAACAAATTTTAATCAACATAATTTTTTGACGAAGGAATGTCGCTTGACACCCTGGCTCGAGGTAGCTTTGTCTCTGTCATCCCCTCTCAGTCAACTCCTAAAAATGATAAAAACATTAAATTATCATCTTGACATTTATAAAATTTAGACAGTGTTCTAACTTTACCCATAAAAATCCAGTTTATGTAGAAAAAATACATAAACATGCTCTAACAAAGTTATAAATTATTATAAATTCACAAAATAAAATGAAATCATTTATTAAATAGTTATAAATCTACAAAAATTTGTTTCTTCTTAAATTGGTAGGGATGGTGAGTTTCAAATCATTTAACTTGGGCCCAATGATTTTCCACGTATTTCAGGGAGGCCCATATTTTGGTTCATTTGTTTGCATGATAGCCCAATAAGTTTTTTTGCATCTCATTTTATTTATTTTTACTCCATTCATTTTTACTCGTCACATTTTATTTCTTAAAAGTAAAATTATATGTATCTTGAGAAAATATTTTTTCATCATATTAATATGAAAATTATTGTAATTTATAACTTTTAAATATTTTAATTTAAAGTATCAAAATTTAATGTGTCTTTCGAAGATTATCAAATTGATTTAAAATTGTGAAGTAAAACGTAATAAAAAGAAGTGAATAGATAAAACAACTATTTTTATATTCAAAAATGTCATATTTGGACTATCAATAGTATGCACCATCAAATCAATAGAATATAACAAAAAAATTAATAAATTGTTTTTCTAGTCTTCAAGATTGAAAGCATATTGAAAGCGATTATCTCCCAAGTCGTGCACTAAAATCCACTTCACTAATGTGAACCAATTAATGTGGTGCAGTGAGCTTTTTTCCAAAAACATTATTATTTATTTTCCAATTAATTAGTTGGAACATCATTATCTTTTACTATAGAGATAAAATATCTTCATGTTATTTTTTTCCAAATGTTGTCATTTCAATAATTTTAGGAAAAATAGTTTTTTTATTTTTCCAAATGTTGTCATTTCAATAATTTTAGGAAAAATAGTCTTTCTCAAAAAGAATTTGCTCATAAATGTGTTATCAAATTGTGTTATATTACGGTCTAATTCACACTCTAAAAGTAAGGGATTCAAAAAGAGAAGAATTAACCATCAATGTAAACTTTTTGCTTTAACAAATTGTGTCGAGTCCCATGTTTATGCTTCGTCGCAAGTTAGTTTTGAAGCTCAATTTAGTTAAAATTTCATTTTCTTATCAAATTGTTTGTCATCGATTTAAAAAGAAGGTAAAAACATAATGTATTTGTTTAAATGATGTGAAATTTTCTTCCTAACTATATTCACATTCAGTATATTGCATTGAGTAGTGATATTATTTTAATTTGCTGTTTATTGAAATTAGTATTTATATGCCCTAAAAGAATTGTAGGGCCGTTCGGTCATAGATTTTTCATATAATATTTGGGTAAAAACTTGGCAAATAATGTTTATCTATACACTTTTTCATTATTTGATAAATATTTTTGGTAAATATCAAATTTTCAAATACTAACTTTTTTTGGTATTTGAGCCAACTTTATTATTTGGGATCTTTTAAAAATTGAAATTTTACTTCAAACATTTATCTTTTACAAAAAAAAAAACCCTCTATAGTTATTGTCTACATTGTATTACTTAATTTTTTACGTTAATTCCAAAATAGTGATGAAATATATATGGTGAATGATAAATGATGATATGATTATTAATGAAAATGATGAACAACCGGCTCAAGATAACAAAGTCATGTGTTTGTCTACTTCACGATGTATGAAATGATGTTTGTTGCACTCACTCCAAATTACCACATCGCTCTAGTGTCATGGACAATATTTTGTTATTGTTGTAACAAAGATCCAATTGACTTGTAAAATAAACTTATGATTAATTTTGATTTTTTTAAAACTTATGCGTATAAATCATATTTTTTAAAAAAAAGTGAAATATATTTTCCAAATACTATGATCAAACACATAGTGAAATTTCATTTAAATTTTCACTCAAATAATATTTATCAAGAATATTTGAAAATTATGATTAAACGCTAGCGTATATATAGCAATATCATTAATTCATTATTCAAAGATGATCATTAAATGACATCATGACACAATTATACGTGTGAAGCCAAAAGCCAATTGCAATGTAAACGACTCACTAGTCAAAAGTTTCAAAATTTAAGTTGTAAAGGCTACTTAGTACGAATTTGAATATAATTAATTTTGACTTACGTATAGACCTTATTCTCCTTTTTATTAATTATATGGGGTTATATACGAGAAAAGTCACAATTTGCGAATAATGTAGGAAAAATTTATTCACACTAATTTTTTTATTTATAAATACATAACATTTATCTTTTACATGCATTTTTGTCACTAGTCAAAAGTTTTATATGTATTTTTCTCACAAATAATAAAAGGTATGTGTCTAATTTTTAAAGTCAAATTGAAGTAGTACGATTGAGAAAGTGACATAAATAATCCCTTGACTATAGTATTAGGTCTAAAATGGTTCCTTAACTATACAGATATAATTCTTAAACTATTCAAAAATTTATCAGTTTTGGTCTCTTAATTATACACTTATCGGTTTTAGTTCCTTTACTATAATATTATGGATTTTAGTCTTTTAAGTATTCAAACTTATCAGGTTTGATCTTTTTCATTTTTTAAATATAAATATCTTAGCTTAATATTAACGGAATTCATGTCTCGAGAAATTAAATCTTTTACCAATTTTTCTGTAATTTTTCACTCTCCGCTTAATTTTCTTCAAATTAACCTTATACGAAGAACCTTAACTTTAACGATTCAAAACAAAACTCACGAGCAAAGAAAATATAAATCATAATTTTATTCAACAGAGGATAAAATGAAGCATATCTATTGCAATTAATGACTTGAATATGCTAAACTTTATTATAAAAAGAAAAAAAATTGTTCCCTATTAAATTCAAAGTTTGTACTCTGACGACTTCATTGAACAAATTTTTTTAATTTTTCAGAAATTAAATTTCATAAAATGGTATATTTGTAAAAAAAAAATTGATCTATTTTTCTATTTATTTTATGTTACGTAAAAATTTGAGTAAATTAAATATTACCCACACTAATTAAGATATTCAAGTGCGACTTCAGGTCATTGACAACAATTATATGCTTAATTTTATCCTCCGTTGAATAAAATTAGGACTTATATCTTGTTTCCTCACTAATTTTCTTTTGAATCGTAGACGTTATTGTTCTTTTTATAACAGTAGTTTGAAGAAAAAAGGACAAGAATAGAGAAACAACTTTAAAAATGGGTTAAAGATTTAATTTCACAAATATTGCTGTTAATATAAACCAATGTTATTTGTATTAAAAAAATGGATAAAAATCAAACCTGATAAGTTTTTGAATACTTAAAAAACTAAAATCGATAACTTTATAATTAAAGGACTAAAATCAATAAGTGTATAATTAAGGGATCAAAATTTATAAATTTTTAAATAGCTAAAAAATTATATATATATATATTAAATTTATAATTAAAAGATCATTTCTAAACCTGTTCTACGATTAAGAGACTATTTACATCATTTCCTATAAATAGATTTACGTTATCTTTAGAGTGCAGGTTTCATGGACCAAACAAATAGATGTTGGAACACACATAACAAGAAGAACACTAAAGTCAAAGAAGATTGAGGTGAATTTAGAACAAGTAGCATG